AACAGAATCCTATGTGATTGGTTATAATGCACAGCACGTTAAAAACGCGTCTGGCTCAGCACCAGCCAAAGCACCAACGCAGATTTGAATTTGGCAGCTGATGCTGTGCCACACTGAAGGTTTTAATCGTATCAAATATAAAAAATATATTATTCAGCCATTTTTGGTCTTTTGGAAGCTGCATTCAAAATCCACTTTGTTTAAAATCCTGAGGGGACATGGTTGAAATTGCGTTCTTGGAGGAGCAGTATTTCAGCTGGGCCCCCCTCTGGTCTAGTGCCCTGGGCACGTGCCCGGTAGGCCCTTGCATTAATCAGTCCCTGCCACTGAGTTTATAAAAATATATACACAGGTTGTATTTTTCAAGAGGAAATTGTCTTTCTTTTAGGAGACTTAAATGAGTAGTTCCTTTTATAATTCCTTTGAGTATCAGCTTTGCTTAGCTTTGTCTCAGCTTTTAGATGTTCCTTTTGAAAACACATAAAGCAATTGCTGACAGAGTAAGAACATCAAAAAATATACAATGTATGTGGATCATAGCACAGCTCGGATCATTTCGTGTCAGAAATATCTGATGAGAAATGTTTGAAAAGTTCATTTTGAAACCTTTTAATGTTGAGACTTCAGATTTAGTATCTTGGAAAATCTGAGTAAAGCTGTTAAGATGTTATTCTCTTTTAAAACAGAAGAGAAAACTGTAACAAGTCAGAGAGTTAAAGAAAAGTCAAAATTTTCTCTGTATTTGATCTCATTGTCACCTGGAAGAAACAACTGCGATATAATCTCATATCTCATTTGTGATGAAAACACTGAAAGTCTTACCTTTTGGGTTAATTCATATTTTGCTTATGTGGCATGATAATGCCTTTAAACATTAATAGGCCAAAATGTATAACAAACATGCGACTTTTGGCCTCAATGTTACTAATCAGAAAATAATTTAAAGATTAGTTTTTGTTAACAAGAGACTAATGTTATTTATTAAAGTCAACTTCATTTACCCTTTTAACCTTTATTAATATTATTAGCCTATGACCTACACTTCATTTACATAGCCATAACACATCTAGGCCTATAATCAGTACTATTTTTCGTCAGGAGTGAAAATTATTTGAAAATCAAAGTCGTATGGGGTGCTTTTCACATGTTTTCATGTTTTTTTTTTTTATTACGTTTCTGTGTAATGTAAATTATTATGCAACCAATTTATTAATGCACTTTCGTGCCGCTCCCTGCGTGTCTATGGGCCGTGCAGAGGTTTGTGTCTTACAGTTGGAATCTGGTTGTGGCCGACCTGACATCCCAGACCGGACCAACAGGTTTCGGTCACGCCCAGAGCAAAAAAGTCAGGTATAAATTAAACGTAAGTAATGCAGACCTTCAGAAGGAAACTAAGCGCACGAGAGAAAAACATACTACTCTCGAATCAATCCCCATAAAACCACCAAAATGCAGATGTCCGAACCCCTCAGCCAGAAGAACACTCTGTTCACGGCAATGAACCGCTTCATCGGCGCCGTCAACAACATGGATCAGACGGTCATGGTGCCGAGTCTGCTGAGAGATGTGCCGCTGGACCAAGAGATAGAGCAGCAGAAGCTAACCAACGACCCGGGTAGCTATCTGCGGGATGCCGAGGCCGACATGTACAGCTATTACAGCCAGCTCAAGTCCATCCGGAACAACGTCGAGTGGGGCGTCATGCGCGCAGAGGAGCAGAGGCGCAAGAAAGACACTACAGCGCCGGAGCCAGTGCGCACAGAGTCGGAGAGCGACATGGATCTGGAGCAGCTCCTGCAGTACCATCTGAAGGGCTTGCATGGGGTGCTGTCCAAACTGACAAGCCAAGCCAACAACCTGACCAACCGATACAAGCAGGAGATTGGCATTGCTGGCTGGGGACAGTGAACTGCTACATCATGATCTATTGGGATATGATGAACTATTCTGATCTAATAGGATCTATTTAGCCTTTGTGGAAGAGCCTACCAAAGGGACTGCCCAGACATAAGTTAAACTGTCAAAAGACAAAATGCAAGGCAAACCGAGAAGGGAAAATGGGTTTGTTGTAGTATTGGTTTTGGTGTTGATCACTGACGTTTTGTAAGGGCTGCTTCTTGTCTTATGGCATTTTATTTGCACTGAGTTTCCCCTTTTTTAAAAACAAAATCTCCGTTCAAATGGCTGGTTGCCATGCCTTATCTTGGTATTTAAAACTATTTATGTGTTATGTATGATTGAAAGCTTTAATTTTTCCATTCTTTTACATTTTTTGAGAGGAAGGTTGTTGTCCTGTGATGTTGCTGTGTGTTCCAGAGGACTGATGACTTTAAGAACTGAGTGTATGATAGTTTGTATAGTGAGAACTCCTATAGATGAAGCAGAAACCCTGTTGAAAATTATTGGGAATGTTCCCTGCTAATGACATGAAACTATCTGTGAATCAATGATGTGGATGACTCTGAAAATCACTGTATGTGTCATGATGAGCTCCATGAGGTTCTGTGTTAAATTGTGCCTAAAGGCCAGTATGATTGTTAAAAACAGTTGCTGTATTATGTACTGAATTTTACTACAAAATAAACTATTGTAATTTGAAAAGATCTAATGTGTGGTTGTTTATTATTTATCATGCTCAACAATGCATAATACACACACCCTGTCACTGTGACTGTTTTACAAATTAGCTTCACAATACTCTTCATTCCTTAGTGCTTATAAAAGTCCATAATTTGAATAACTTTAATTTCTGAGACTTCCACTCAATTCCCATTTATCCATTATCAATTCCTATTTAGTATTCGCATAAGTATGTTAAGTAAGACCTGTGCAATGAAACAAATCTCTTTTCTTTTAAATATTATTTGTTTTCATAATAAAAATATACAAAGGGGCCATAAATTAGAAAAAACAAAAGCACTTTTATTTTAACAAATACAAGATATGTTGGTTTTGTGGTATAGTTTACCATAAAATGTGTCCTGGGTTCAAATCAGTTGACAATGCCATTGAAGTCCCCAATTTTAGACGTGTGAATATAAGTGATCAAAATTTACATGATATTTCCAAAACACAATCGTTTGAAAAATCGAAATAAATATAATTATATATTTCAAGCACACAGAGCTGAAACCCTATTGTAATTGTTAGAATGGCCAAGGGTCAGCAATCTCCACGTAAACCTGATCTGGCAGACCAAACCGTAAGTCATAGAGACTTGAAACTGGGAAGGATGGTAGTAGACCAGGGGTCTCCAGACTCGGTCCTGGAGGGCCGGTTTCCTGCAGAGTTTAGCTCCAACCCTAATCAAACACACCTGAATCAGCTAATCAAGGTCTTATTAGGCATACTAGAAACTTCCAGGTAGGTGTGTTGAGGCAAGTTGGAGCTAAACTCTTCAGGACACCTGCCCTCCAGGACCAAGTCTGGAGACCCCTGGTCTACAATGTTACCAAGGTCCGCCCTAATTTTCCTGAAGGGGGGCGCTACAGCAATCAAAAGTACGAAATCGCTCATAACTCCTAAACCGTTAGTCGCTGGCTCAAGTGCCTTATGTCGTTTGAACCCTTGGCTCATGACAGACAAAACACATGCTACATGCCACATGCCAAACACACGGATTCAATCATCACCCTGGCGACATTTTTTAGCATTTTGGATTAAAATACATTTGCGAACTCGTCCTAGGCTTTTAACTCAAAATCAATAAAATCAGTACAGTACAATTCTCTGGACTCTCTAGATCAATAATAAAAAAAAGAAAATTGAACTTTACCCTTTGGGTAGCTAATACGGGGTAATTTAGAAAAGGGGTGTGGTGAAGTGCACGCAAAAGCCTATTCCAAAAAGAAAACTCAGAACTTCACAAAAATAGGTGAACATGCAACATGATTCTAAACAAGCATTCAAACTTTATTGGAAATCGGACCATAGGTGGCGCTATAACAGTTAAAAGCTGGGGGAAAATATGTATTTAATTAGTATTATTGTCTGTATTAATATTATGTATCTGTAAATGGTCTTGTCCAGCTATGATATAAGTGGTGACACGCTTGACAAATAAAACCTAACTCCTTTTTGCGCATGTGCCTAAAGGCCTTAAGGGGATAGTTCACCCAAAAATGAAAATTCTGTCATTAATTACTCACCCTCATGTCGTTTCAAACCCGTAAGACCTTCGTTCATCTTCGGAACACAAATTAAGATATTTTTGATGGAATCTGAGAGCTGTCTGACCCTCCATAGACAGCAACGCAACTGAAATGTTCCCAAGTCCAGAGACGTATCAAGGAGATCAGTAAAATAATCCATGTGACATCAGGGGTTCAACCGTAATTTTACGAAGCTACGAGAATAATTTTTGTGTGCAAAAGAAAAAAAAAAAACTTTATTCAACAATTCGTCTCCTCCGCATCACCCTGTAGCGCCATTTTGGAGAATATCAGCTGGACGTAAACAGCTTATGCTGTTTCCTACGTTGTTGTGATTTAATAACGAAAACAGCGTATCAGTGTGACTATAATAACATAGTAAATAGTCTATAATAACATTTCCTAATTTATCTGAGAAAATATACATTTAAATAAATACAGAGTATCGATATAACTTTATTATGGTCTCACTTTATAAACAACATCTTAGCCATCTTTTATTGGCAATAAGTTTCTGTGGAGCGTGAACATCACCGCGTTTCGTCCCTCTGCGCACGCTTTACGTGTCTGTCAATGTGGCTGTGATGTGATGTTCTCAGGATGTGTGCAATCCACAACAGCGTATCAGTGTGACTATAATAACATAGTAAATAGTCTATAATAACATTTCCTAATTTATCTGAGAAAATATACATTTAAATAAATACAGAGTATCGATATAACTTTATTATGGTCTCACTTTATAAACAACATCTTAGTCTGTAGAAATTATAGTGTTGTCTCAAAACATTTTTTTATTGGCAATAAGTTTCTGTGGAGCGTGAACATCACCGCGTTTCGTCCCTCTGCGCACGCTTTACGTGTCTGTCAATGTGGCTGTGATGTTCTCAGGATGTGTGCAATCCACATCAAAATATTAGTTAGAAAAAAGAAATATTAATTATGGGAGATGAGCACCCACCCCAGGTTAACAACACTAGCAGCTCCCGCCGTTCTTTCTTCAACGCAGCGCCCGACGATTATCGATGTGTAAGTATAAACATGTTTTAAAAACTACTGTAATGCTACCTTGTTAGCCCTCGTGTTAATCACAACATGACACCATCCTTTCCAGGGATGATGTTTAGCAGTACTTTTACTGAAGGTAAGTCAAGAAAGTAAGAAAGTATGGAGAGATTTATAATAAATTTCAGTTAAACATTTTAACATTTTTGTGGGAAATTCGTCGGATGAGTCACGGTGAGATAAGTTCAGTATTGAATCATTTATTGATCTGTGATGGGACCCAACACACGAGGAGCAGGAACACACCTGACTGTTTAGATTTCTATGATAATGTCTGAAAGTGTAAAACTGTATAGTGTTGGGGAAAAAATGTAAAGAACCAAGGCGTTTATTTACAGAGAAAATACAAATATGTGAAAGTGTTACTGAAAGGGTTATTGAATAAAAAATACTGATTGCACAATGTTATCATTGTCTTCTTGGAATGAAAGTCATAGCTTGTTTTAATCCACAGGATGTGATTCTTAAAGTGAAAAGAGCCACAGGGACATTTTCATTAGTGGCATGGTGAGTCAAATCATATTGCACATCACTTCTTTGCTTTAGAGTGACATTTGAGCAGTCTTAACTTTCTTAAAATGTCCTCTGTGTAGCTTTTTCATGCTGTTTGTGATATGGCTGTTCCGCCGATATAACTCTTTGGCTCAGGTACAGTGTGTGTGTTATGGCTCAAATGTTTTTTTTTAAAGAAATGAATGCTTTAATCCAGCAAGGATGTATTAAAAGTGACAATAAAAACTTTCACACTGTTACACAAAACCAAAAGAATCAATAAAATAATTCAATTATTAATTCATTAATTTTAACATTTCACATCAAAGAACTCTGAAAAAATAATATTAGGCAGGATCTGATTTCTGAAGGATCATGTGACGCTGAAAAGTGGAGTAATGGCTGCTGAAATATGAGTAAATTACAATTGAACATATAGTCAAACGGAAAACATTTTAAATCCTAATAATATGTCACAACATTACTGTTCTTATGTATTTTTGATAAAATAAAGGCAGCCATGGTGAGCAAAAATGTTATAGACCCCAAGCTAGTAGTGTAATTTCTGTCATTCTGACCTATAATTGTCATATGCAGTCATATTGTTGATTATTATGAATTATTTGGAGGAATATTGAGTCCTTGCTTTATTTGTATTTTGTAAGTGTATATCTTTTTTTCTTTTGTTTTTCAGAAAATGATATTTAGTCTGACAGTAGCTGCATTTTTTGACAGTGTTGCTTATGTTATGGTGAGTTGCACTGATTCATTTATGTGTGTGTAAGAGAGAGAGAGACATCCAAGCTAATGTATGTTGGAGAAAGGGAAATGTTTTCTACCTTTTTAATAACTATTTCATCACACCTTTTGCTTTCTTCTCATATGCAGGGAGAGTCTCATCCAGAGGGGAATCTGTGTAATTTTCAAGCCTGGTGGCTCACATATTTTGGTAAATTTGGCAACTGATTTAAAGATGTGCGTTTATATGTGCACTGTTGTGTATATGTAAAGTAACAGATAATCAGTTCTGACATGGGATAGTAAGAGGATTTATTTTTGGCTTTGATGTAACGAGCAGAAGACATTTGAATGTATAAAATTCACAACACAAAAGAACACATGCAATATGATACTTCTGAATAAAGTCATTTAAGTGGGAAGGTGAATTCATTCCAGATTTAGTGCATCAAAATAGAAAGATGACATCCTGTATAGACAAAGTGTCATGATAAACTACTGTTGGTATAGTTGTTATAGTTTTTGGCTGTTTGTTTCAGACTGGACTGCGCTGATGTGGGTTTGTCTTATTACTTTTAATCTGTACCTGAACCTGGTGAGAGAAATTAGAACTGAACATTATTAGATGTGAGTCACTAGACACACACATGGATAAACACGTTTAGTTGTGTATACATACAGACAGAGTGCTCCTAACATCTGGATGTGTTTCTCAGACTATACCATGTGGTGGCATGGGGGGTTCCTCTGCTCATGTCCACCCTCCCCCTGATGGCTGGATACTACGGTCCTGCTGGAGCCTGGTGGTGAATGACTTTTGATATATTCTTAGTTGCAATCCTATCATTAACGGTGATCATCAGTCCTTTCTGTCTCATTCTTTTCCTGCAGTTGGATCACAGATAATCATGTTGGGTGGAGGTTTGGCATGTAAGTTTGTAATGTTCAGCATGCGTGTGAGTGTTTGCAGAAATGCATGCTGTGTTTAGGAATGAATCTGTTTTGGACAAATGAAACTATGTTGTAAGTTGCATAATTTTTTCGAGGCTCACGTAGCTCATGCTGTTTGAATCTCAGGAATTTCCGTTCCCATTCTGACAGGTTGTTGTGCATGCTGGAGTTCTTTAGAACATTTTTCACTCTAATTATGTCCAGTTATGGTTATTTATTGGTGTGTTAAGGAATGTTCACACTGGCAACAAGTGATTTTGGACACCTAAAATGCATGAATGTTGTTGCATTACATAACAAAACATCAGATAAAATAATATTTATATGAATGCCCTAGATACCTGTACTGTATCAGTTATTGGGCAATATTTAATTTATTAGTATTGGTCGATATTGAATATTTAATTGCTTGTGCTCATTTCCCATATTTTTACATTGAGATTACCTTTGCTATCATCCAACAATCACTTAAAAGTGATCTTTAAAAACCTATTTACACAGTTATCATTACAAATATAATAGTTATATAATTAATAGATTATATTATATATTAGAATATTGACCTTTTATCAGTTAGTGGCCATAAAATGAAAATAATTATTCCCCTCAGGTATCAGCCAGAGTTTTAATATCGGTGCATCCCTAGGCATTTCTTTTACAGAAGATTAGTACAAGTTAACAACACTATCAAGTGTCCAAATACTTTTTGAGGCCTCTGTTTTTGTATTGTCTTGTTTGAGGTGTAAAGTATTGTTTATTTGCAGATGGTACGTTCCTCTGTTTAGCCTGCTTATCCTCATGATCTGCTGTTATGCTCAAATCATCTGTGGCCAACCGGAGGGTGAGTGAATGTGATTCACAAACATCTGCTAAAAAAATGGTCTCACTACTTCCTAAATTTGATTTCATGGCAACCTGCTGTCTAACCTAGGTGTGTAATTCAAATTCATTGTAAACAAAAAGCTTTATCTCCTCCCTGTTCTCTGTTAATGCTGACTTACCTCAGTATGGCTGAAAGTGACATTCCGCATTCCAGAACATTTTGCACTTCTGGTAGTTTCTGACACACACTGACGTAGTAAATTAACTCATACATGCTCATGTACGTGCAGACACCTGTGTACTCTACAGAAGTCTTACAGTGGTACACTCAGCAGTGTACATTAAAATATCACTAACGAGATAATGGAATTTGTGCTGGAGCAGTGCTGATGAGTCATACAAAACATAATGATCCATGCATAAAGAGTATAAATGCATGTCTAAAATTATTACTCTATTTATTTCAGATGCATTCCTGGTTAGGCCCCAAACAATACTGACACCGTGTGAACACACCATTTTCATATAAGGCTTTATGTAATTTAAAATAAATATAATTTAAATGTATTGAAATATTATTTAAAATGTTTTATAAACTATAAACGAAAGGAGATATGCTTTTTTCCCCGTTGTATTTTCCTGATTGGCCGTGTTGGGTTATGTCACCTTAGCGCGTTTAATAGCGATTGGCGAACAACTCATCATAAGTGGCAAAGAAGCCAATCAATGACAAGTACGTTGTAAGGTTAATGAGAAATGCTACAGTAACCCATACCATACGTAATACATTTTCATAACAGCAGCTGGCGAAACTATTACTTCAACAGGCAGGGCAAGTCCGGAACAACAACATAACAGTCATAGCCAGTAAACGACGCTTGTGTTTCAAGGAAAAATAAATTACTGTTAAAAAACAGTTTCTGGCAGTGTTGGATCATTTTTTCTTTTTTTTTTCTTTATGTTTTATGTTAAAGCAAACTCAGTAAATAGGTATTAATAATGTTAATAATAGTCCTACAGTAGAGTTGCCTTGGTTTTTCTCAGTGCCTTCTGTGGATCTTCAGATATTGAAAACTATAAAGGATAAACAAAATCAAGTTCCTAAAGCGATAGTACAGAAGATTTCATTTTGAGGTGGACCCCTGTGGAGCCGTGTTCTTCTTTTCCGGAAACACTTGATCACCTATTCTTTTACTGTGAGGTTACTTCTAAATTCTGGTTTGATATTCATCGTTGGTTACCAGTAAAATGGAAATGATTCCCCAATTGTTTTGCTAGACATTCTCTTTTTTAAGTGTGACTTAAATTCTCATTTCTCAGATGTTATCAACTTTGTTTTATTGCTGGGTAAACAATTCATACATGCAAATGGAAAAAATGTAAGCCCTCTTTTAATATATTTCTTTGTCAGTTTGTGAAAATGTTTCAGAGCTTCAAATATTTAAAAAAACTAAATCGAAAGACTGAAACTCTGTTTCTCTCTCAAAATATTATTTTAGTGTATTCTTCTTTGATGTCTTTATGCACTTCTTGTATCGACTCTTGCTCCTTGTGTTAAAGTGGGATTTAGATAAATACTCAGGGTGTCATAGTGATCATCACAGCATGAGATAGGAGACATTATTGCAGAAAAAAAATAATGACTGGAAATTATTTGCAGTATATAATATAATATATAAGGGGTCTATGTATATATGTTTGTATATATATTATGGTGGATCAAATAATCAAATGTATAAAGACAGCAAATGTGCAAAATATGGGGGGGGGGGATTAATAATATCTACCGGGTCCACATGTGATGCAAAATATTGTTACAAGGTTGATAATAAGCAAGTTTTAACAGAACAAAAATAATAAAAAACAGTTTCTGGCAGTGTTGGATCATTTTTTCTTTTTTGTCTTTATGTTTTATGTTAAAGCAAACTCAGTAAATAGGTATTAATAATGTTAATAATAGTCCTACAGTAGAGTTGCCTTGGTTTTTCTCAGTGCCTTCTGTGGATCTTCAGATATTGAAAACTATAAAGGATAAACAAAATCAAGTTCCTAAAGCGATAGTACAGAAGATTTCATTTTGAGGTGGACCCCTGTGGAGCCGTGTTCTTCTTTTCCGGAAACACTTGATCACCTATTCTTTTACTGTGAGGTTACTTCTAAATTCTGGTTTGATATTCATCGTTGGTTACCAGTAAAATGGAAATGATTCCCCAATTGTTTTGCTAGACATCCTCTTTTTAAAGTGTGACTTAAATTCTCATTTCTCAGATGTTATCAACTTTGTTTTATTGCTGGGTAAACAATTATCATATTCACACATGCAAATGGAAAAAATGTAAGCCCTCCTTTAATATATTTCTTTGTCAGTTTGTGAAAATGTTTCAGAGCTTCAAATATTTAAAAAAAACTAAATCGAAAGACTGAAACTCTGTTTCTCTCTCAAAATATTATTTTAGTGTATTCTTCTTTGATGTCTTTATGCACTTCTTGTATGACTCTTGCTCCTTGTGTCCCTCTGTGGGGTGTCCTGAAGATGCCAGTGCATTGTTTGCCTCTCAGGAGATCAAAGTATTCTAGTTTCTTTTATCCTTACATTATGCTTATAATTGTTGACCATTTTTGCTGCTTAGTTTCATTAAACAATCTGGGTGAACTGGGGAGGGTGTTTTGCCTGCTAAGTGTTCGAATATATATATATTTGTATAGTTATATTTATTAAGTTTATATCAGACTCTTATTTTGAAATAGCAGAGGGAAATCCTGTTTTGCATGATATGGCACACGTCTACACTCCCCCACTAAACACTTTTGCTTATTATTCATGCACCATCTGTGCATGTTGACCCATCTCATTCCATGTCCACACTACTAGTACTTAAAATGGTTGCTGTGCCACTAGTTAACAAGATAAGTTAATAAACAGCTGTGAAGAATGTACAGAATGTGTTTAAACTGCCTAGTAGTTATGGATCCGCAAGTAAAGTAAGTATGTTTGAGGAGCTACAGCGTTTGTTGTTCTCTACGTTAGTTAAGTTGATTTTATGTGACAGTCGTTATTTTTAATGTGTATATGTTTGAGCAATATTAATTCGATTTTTTTTTTTTTTTACTTATTTCCTACAGGCGTCAGGTCATGGTGGTCTTAGAAGATGTCCTTCAGACAGAGATTGGGCAGAGATTGCTGAGATGTGGTGAGCAGAGTTGCCAAAAGACGAACCATTCAGAGAGCAAAAGGCAGAGTGATCACACCTCAACAGCTGCACTCAAAGACAAGAGGAGAACCAGTCTAACAAAAAGAGAAGAAACAGACTCTACTGGACCAAAAGCCACTTCACCATCCCATAATCAGACTGAACAATCTTCTGAAAATGAATCACGTTTACACAAAGAAATCCAAAATCCAAAATCCAAACAACTGAACTCATCACTGAAACTATTAGAGGCATCTGAAGTATCAGGTAACTCTTGTTCACCCAGAGAAAGCGACTCACCACAGGCTGTTCAGATTAGTGAACAGCTGCCTAAACAGACCAAACCATCTACTTCTGAAGTGAATGAAGTATTACTTCTTGAAGGATCTCCACAGCATGAGGAAGCACGTTCCTCTGGATGTGAATCTGTATGCAGCACCTCATCACCGTTAGCATCGCGGGGTAGTCTGAAAGAGGAAAAATCAGGTAGCGAGGTAAGATCTGTAATCTGTACACCTTGGCAAAAATCAAAGAATCCTGAAAAGTGTATCACAGATGGTTTCCACAAAAATATTGAGCAGCACAACTGTTTTCAACATTGACAATAATAAGAAACGTGTCTTGAGCACCAAATCAGCATGTTAGAATGATTTCTGAAGGATCAAATGACACTGAAGACTGGAGTAATGATTGCTAAAAATCCAGCTTTGCCATCACAAGATTAAATTACATTTTAAAAATAAATGTATCATTAATTAAATTAAATTAATTTTATAGGTTTATCAAAGCAAACTATAAAGTACGACCTGGAACCTGCTTAAGTACATCTGTTTAGGATTCTAACATTACTAGTATTTATTGTAGATCATCATCTTTGATTCTACATATGATTCTACAGCATCTACCCAATAAGAAAGAAAGGAGAGAAACACAAGAGTGCCCAAAATATGCTTCAGAAGACAAGGAAAATCACTTGCTCAGGAATGGAGAGGTGGTGCAGGAAGTGGATGGAATGAGAGGAAGTGTGTTACGCCTCTCAGTCGGGGCTGACGGGGAGATCCCGGTCAAAAGATGTCGAATGGACAGCCTTTCAGGCAAACATTTTCCCAACTCAGACCCCGCCTCTTGGAGAACAGAGTGGCGGAGCTTCATCATAGAGTCCTCTAAGCTCAGCCCATCTGAACCTAGTAAGTGATTAGTGCTCAGTATTAAGAATTCATTAATATGCACTGATATAACAGTACGTAGTAATAACAGTTTTAGCAACATTTTAAAGCAAAAAAATTGCCATCTGTCATGATACACAACTGTTTTATAGAGTAATAATAAAAAAACGTGTCTAGAGCACCAAATCAGCATATTAGAATGATTACTAAATGATCATGTGACAACGAAGACTGGAGTAATGGCTGCTGAAAATTTAGCTTTGCTATCACATGAATAAATTACATTTTTAAATATGTTAAAATAGAAAACGGTTATTTCAAATTGAAATAATGTTTCACAATATTACTGTTTCCACTTTTTTGATAAAATAAGAACAGCCCTAGTGAGCATAAGAGACTTCTTTTAAAAATATTTTAAAATAGTCTTAACCACCCCAAACTTTTGAATGGAAGTGTATTTAATTGATAAATGTAATTTCAGTAATAAATATCAAACATTATTTGTTTTTTATATTCCACACAGATATAACAAAACATTTTGGTAACACTTTCTATGAAGACCATGCTTATAATGAATTATAGCCCCATTTATACGTACTTATAAGTATTACTATTCTATAAATATATTTATACAGACTCATTAAGACCTATACTGTGTTATAAGAACAGTTATAATTATGTTTATTATTTTTGTAATTATAAGGCATGCATTTTCTTCTTCAGTGTACATGCTCATAATCCATTATACACTGGTTTATAAATGATCAAATATAAAATAGTTCCAGAGACACTTGTTTGTTGTACCAATTACTTATTATGTCTTTAATGGCTAATGTTTGCATTAGAGGTAATGATTGGTAATTTTGATTTGTTCAAATCTATATCTCCTCAGCCATATGCATGGTATTGCTTATAGCAGTTTGTTTGGAATTATGCTTTAAAATATTGTTGCAGTGTTTTGCAAGTATGTAACATTTAAAAGAGTATTTTCAACTGTTTGTATTAATTATTTTCTTCATTATTACAGGAATTATTGTTCAGTAGTTACATTTACAAGTAAACAACTTAAACTGATAATGAGCACATCTTTAATGGTTTCTTAACATTTGCTTTAAGAAAATTGCATCCTATGTTTTCACTTTACTTAAAGCCATCAATGATGCATTTATATA